GTATGGTTGATGATTTTATTGTCGAATGTAAAAAAAAATAAGATGAAGAAAGTTACAAGGCTTCAGTGCTTTTAGAAGGCGTCATGTGAAATCAGTGAGAAGTCTTAAATGAGAATGTTTCACGCTTTATAAACGAGTGTGGGATTGTAAAACATTAAAGAGGTTTTTTGTTGTAAATTTGTAGGTTTTGTAATTGTTGTCAAGGAAGAGATTCGTGATTAGATTGTGTTGCTGGCTTAAATATGAGGATAGATGTTCATTGTTTTGACACTTTTTAATTGAATTTAAAAAGCTAATTAGTCATTAAAGTGCGTCTGTATTTGACCCGAATAGTACAAGTCGGTTAATCAAACAGAAATCTGGCGCTAAGCTAGCATGACTCTGTTATGATTCCGGCTTTGATTTAAATCCAGCATCATTCTAGAGTCATACCAACTTGGTGCCGGCTCTCGGATCGATTAACTGCCTTGTGCCATTCGGGTGAAAGCTTTTAAAACTTGAATCAATTAATCTTAGAACTGAAACTTAAATTCCATCCACGATAGATCAAAGGTCTTCGTTCCAATCTATTCTGCATACCCCACATTTTAATAATCCCAACTCATACATGTTGTAATCATCTTATCATCCATTATCCATTCTAATGATACTTTAATATCAAATATGATCGTTTCATGCTGATGACTAAGTCGATGAAATCTCGAAAAAAAAACTTTTTAACACACAAAAAGACAGAGCAGAAGATGCTCATCGCTTTGTCGTTAAGGAGTCGTTTGAAAATTAATATTAATAAATTCTAGTTTTTAGGATTATTATTGTGAAATATAATGGCAACAACGAGCACGAGAAAAAAAAATTCCATTGGCAAAAAGTTGCTATTTTTACGATTTTCTTCTGTGTAAAGAAGTTTTGTCATTCGTGGAAGTAGTGACAGAGAAAATATGTGGTATAAATAAATTATATAATATGGGTTAGTAGTGTTAAGCTGATGAAAAAGAAGCAGTACCAGTTTTTTTTTTCTCTCTATCATTCCAATTTCGGTAACGTAATATTTAACTTCATTTGTTAATAGCTTGAACCTGTTTGACAAACAAAAAAAGATATATAAGCCACAAACGCAGCGGAGTCACGATAATCATGAAAAATATTATCTACAAAAATGTCGAAAACAGGTTTTCGGTTTATGGACGATTGAGAAAAATACAAAACCTAATAAGTCGAGACGTTGAGTAATCGAATATCATTCGCCGCATGTTATTTAAATATTTACCGCTAGTTTTCAACAAGCCTTTCATCTCAGTTTCCCTTTCAATTGACAAATGTCGTGCTTATTGTTGTCGTCATCGACTTTCGGCATTCGACGATTGGAGTGAAAAAAAAATTATTCAATACATTATGCAGGAAGAAAATAGCAAGGAATATGAATCGAATTACCAATTTTCATCTCTTCCTCGTTCTTCATGCTTTATTATATGTATGCTTGAGCGTATTGAGAATTGATTCCGGCAAAAAAAGAGGGAGCCATTTCCATCTCATGCGAATAAATTGGAAACATTCGTAACGCATTTATGCTTTAGCATTTTTATTATTATGCCACTGCTGATGCTTCCTCCTTTTTATGCTATATGAGAAATTTCTCTTTTTTTTAACTCATCCCATTCTCGTTTGTCGCTGTTATTTCAATAACATATCATTCATTTTTAAAAGGCATGATATGACGATGATGATATAAATATACAGAAGGGAAAGGCAAAGGCAGCATTGATATTATGCATGTATAAATAAATTCCATCGAGATATTTCACATCCAAGTGGAAATGCTTTTTCTCTATCTCAATCGTTCGTTCTTACTTAAAATCCGAGTTATGTGTTGGAGTGTGTGGAGACACATCAGGATTTGCATAAAATAATAAACTTTTACTAATGGCCTACAGTACGAGTATCATGCTGAATTGAGATAGTATGTTTAGAATTTTTGCGAGGGTGGGATATGAAAGAGGAGAAGATTGGGAGTTGTTTGAGATTTTAGATTTTAAAAAAAATTCCAAGGGAGTAGAGATATAGCTTATATTCCCTAATTGTAGCTTCAATTTTAAAAAATAATAAGAATCCGAGCTGACCATCCCTTGATCATTCATATACGTCATCCCTTAAAATATCGAGAGCAGTTCCAAATTCTAAATGCCTCAGAAACTTTTTCCCTTCTCCACAAAATGTCTTCCAAGTAAAATAAAATCAAATTTATGTGCATGATAGGCATAAGAATTGCTAGTTGATAGAAATATTCAAATAATAATAATAAAAAAAAATTCTCATGAATCACACATTGATTTTAAATATTTCTCATATAAATTTTGAAATTATTGCTGTGCAGCAGAAAGAAATTTGTTCCAATTGGAAGTTGGAAGTTTATTCATAAGCTCCCAAAAAATACAATAAATGCTGACAATTTAAAAGCAAATAGAAAATTGCAAAACACAAAAATTTATGTATTTAAATGTCATTCAAATGCCATTTCTATGTGTATGAGAATGTTTATTCCTTTTTTGGATAGAGTGAGTGAGTGAGTTGGAAAGAAAGGAAAATAGGAAAAGTAGTTTTTATCACATGAATAGAGTTGAGAGTAAAATTTATGTATCAAAATACATGTGTCATTATGTTGTGCATATATACGAGAACTTTATGACATTTACCAAGTGAAAATCTTAATCTTTTACCATAAACTACATCCAAAGCAACTGCAATGAATCACATTTTCTAGTTAACTTCATATCTTGTACAATTTATCGACAAAACAGTTCAAATATCGATACATATCATCACAGGCTTTTGAGGCTTGAGTGCCTCGTACAGACAGCAGCAGCAGCAACAACAAATTCTTTATTACTTAGAGATTAATTTCATAATTCCCTCATCGTCATTTTACGATCATGTCTGTAGTAATCCCCACATCTCGTACTCCCTCAGTAGTCCAATAATATACAGTATTAGTAAATTACTTACTCACTTACTATTCAAATAAGACTATAGACTCATGGATGCTTGGAAGAGGATGAGAGATGGAAGCAATCAATGTTTTTTAAGATGTTGTTAACTTTTACATCGGTTTACTGCACTTGTAACTAGCATACTCGTACTGTATAGTAGATTTTATGTTCTTTCAATGTATCTTTCGCTTTTCTGTATGTATTTGTGTGGATGTATACAATTTTATGATTTCGCATAAATTTACTTATGCCGGAGTGATATTGGAGGATGAGGACGGTTCGATATTCATAGCACTTCAGAAATCAATCCTGTTATTTATGTGAAATGGAAAAATATTAAAACAAATTTGGCTAATTTTAGGGTTTTAGGGATTAAGACGCATTAGGTTGCCTTTAAATTTATTTTAAAATTGCTACTTTTGGTCAGATCTATTAGAGGAGCTTTGGTCTGTTCGTTCCTGTTGTGATGACGTTGAGCATTATTTCATGATTCTTTGGTGAGAATCGAACTCACGTCGACACATAAAATTGTTTCATATCTTGTATGAAGAACAACTTGACTGTAAAGGCTTTACCCCCACACTGGCAGATTCGCCTATATAATATATAGCCTTCTGAAAGACAATCTGATCTCTTTCATCATCACTATCATCACATTATCCAACAATCCACTCAAGGAATTCCTAGAACATCAAGTGAAGAAAAAAAAGAACGCAAGTATATCCTTGAATTATTCGAACATCCTCACATGTGATTGTATATTTGTATAAGTGGCGGTTAAAGCGAAACGAAGATAAAAATGATTTCCAATCTTTTATTACATCACGTTTCTGTAACTTATAAAGTTTAATGATATGTTATTACGAATATTTCTTCTTCATTCTTACTCACATTCATATATACAATGAGAAAAGTCAGCCGTGTGGCATCATCATTATTGGAGAAATGCTGCTTATAAGAAGGCAAGCAATGCAAGCATGCGAGTGAAGAGAAGAAAAAATATTGCGAATATAAAAAGCATAAATTATGCTATAAAAATGATAAGCCGTTGTGTGGTCATAAAATCATGTCTTCATCAAATTCCTTATCCTATAGTGTTAGAATTGCCAATGGTTATTGCTATATCTGACGGCAAGGTCAAGGATTAAATACATTGCATGCGTGCTTTATATGTATGACTCTCTTTACGAGTCCCAAAGTCTATTTTATCTTAATTAATAATTATATCACATCATAGAGATTCCAAATAAGTCTTCTTTTTGTGCTCCTCACACTTGGGCTACAACACATTTTATTGCTACATGCATACACACGCAAACAGAAAGAAATCATTTGTTTGATAAGGCATTGCTGTGTATACTGTTCCGCACTGCCTTTTTTTTCATTGGGCAAATAATATAAACGGCCAAAGTCAGAATGAAAAGCTAAGTCCTTGTTAATCTGTTTGCTTTTCTTCTTCTCATTCTTTTTAATGCCTGTACACATGTGTCCCTTGGATGAAATTTTCGTCGGATTGCTTTTGGACGGGTCTTGAAGTTATGCTGAATTTTTTCAATTTTTAATGGCAAGATAACATTGGAAGTGCTACAGAAAAAATACTAAGAACCACTTGATTTCAGCCAAAATATCCACAAGGATCAAATAAATACGACGTCTATATGTGTATGACTCATTTAGAAATGACAAAAGGCCCAATTATTTGTCTTGACATAAGCGCATTGCTGCCTCCAGAGACAATTATGTCGTTTGAGCTTCTTATGTCTCTTTATTTGTCGTTGTCTTTGTCATTTTAGGCTATAAATGAGTCACGTTAGAAATAAATATAGCACAAGCAAATAAGAATTTTTTATGATAACTTTCCTCAAAGAATGTCAATTTTATAGCAATAATTTTTTTACAGCTGATTACGCACAGCACAAAAGAATTTTTTTCATGTTTTTTTTCTGCAATGCGAATGAAATATGATGGCTATGCTGAACGAAAAATTTATGATTTTTTTTTCTCTCTTTACAGTTCTCGCCCAAGAAAACTTCAAATGTCCAGATGATTATGGATTCTACCCACATCACATTAGTTGCGATAAATACTGGAAGTGTGATAATGGCGCAGCAGAACTTAAGACATGTGGAAACGGTTTAGCTTTCGATGCCACTGATCCAAAATATTTAAGTGAAAATTGTAAGTCTTTTTGGTGCCTTCTTTAAATCCTGAACATCAAAAGCTAGATCAATAGCTAAAATCAAGCTCTTTGAATATTTTTAATTGATATTGAAATTTGACTGTTTGTAGTGTTCGTAGGAAATATTTTACCAAATAGTAAAAAGAAGTGTAGTCAGGGACTTTTTGGGGAGATCTTCCTTGATACAAAATATAAGAGATGAGGAGAGTTCCCTTAAATTTATCAATGCAGATGAAAAAATATTCATTTCAGTTTTATTTTTGATCTTCCCAGAAAAAGCAATTTCGAATCTATTTTTGAACAATATTTTAATCAAGCACTTCATCAAACAAGAAAAAAATCCTCTATTCATAAAAAAAATGTGCTCATGTTCACCCATTTTTCCATTTTCCACGCGTATTGCAAAACGAGTCAGAACTATGTATCAAATATCAAAAGCTTCAAAACGTTTTATTTCTCATTGAGGTGGTTTATAAATGATGGACAAATTTTGTGGAAGGAAGCAGTCTGTGGCAATGGACGAAGCCTAAGCTAGTGGATTATAGTTGGCTAAATCTAGCATGCCTTAATTCTCTAATCTCTGGCACTTCGTCACTTAAATACTAGAGTAAAACTTAATTTTAAAACTGTCGAGAATGCCTTAAAAATTCCATATTTTGATAAACATCATTTATGAACAGCCCCTCTGACAAATGTTTAATTATATATATAAAAATGCCTCTAATTAAAATTTTTCTCTGTTTTTCAATTTCACATCAAAATAACAAAAAAAAATATAGGTGATTATCATCATAATGTTGAATGTGGAGACCGCACCCAACTTGGTAAGTAGATTCCGCCTGTTTAAAAATTACATATAAAATGCATTAAATAACTGAGCAGTGCAGTTTTTCCAATTAATTTTTTTGCCATTTTACATTTTCAAGTCGAGTATAAATAATATAGAATGTATAAATAGGCACACAGAGACTTTTCAACCTTAATTGAGGCATTATTCACAATTCTGAAAGAACTGAAAGAAGAAAAGTATTTGTCGAGGACAAAAAAAATGAAGCTTCTATTGCTGCATTATGCTTCAATCCAACATGTTTACTAATTCCGCTTATGCTGTTCCTTCTTCTATTTCTGACTGGATTTTCAATTGAGTTGAAGGATTAAGAAAGTATTTTGTCTGCTTGTCTAGCATTTATTCCACGAAAAAGGCGTTTCACCTGCTCACCATCCAGTAATCCAGCACGAAAATTTCCATACTTCTTCCTCATATGCCTCATATTATGTGCCATGTTGCTCTATTATTCTCCTTTCACATTCGATGTGAAAAATGATTATGATGATAAATAGAAAAGCACTCTGGAATGGTCGGAGGGGATTTTTTTTTGTGTGTGTTGTTGTTATTGCCTCTTCTTCATCTTTGTCCTCGCAGTTTGCCTTATTTTTAGTTTGAATGGATGGGGAGGCAGATAGAAAAGCTTGTTGTTATTGTGTGATGCAGTTTCATACTTTTATTATTCATAAAAGACCATTAACAAGTAATATGTTGGAATCGCATGAGTTGATGGAATTGGTTGTTTATTTATCCATGCTTCTTCTCATTCACAACTGCGATGATGTTAGAATAATAAAAAAAAATCCAAGAGACTTAAAATTAGCACTGATTTATGCTTAGGAGGGGCGGACTTGTGGTGAATGGCAGCAGTAGCATGAGAAAAGATTTATAACTTTTTCAATCTATGGTCCCAGTGAAACCCGAAATAGAGCATGCTAGGGAAAAAAATTAGAATAGGATGGAAAGAAAGGACTGATTATTACTGCTAGTGTGATGTATTAATATTTGGTTGGTTTGTCTGTGATTTTTATGGGATTTGATTCTGATTTAAGAGACAACAACTGCTGGTGTTGCATAAAAAAAACTAGAAGTTAATAACCTCGTCGACTGCTGAACCACATGATACATACCCGAAAAAAAAACACCAATAAATTAGAACCTCACAGGATGCACTGAATCATTCTAAAATATTTTGATTAAAATTCCACAATTCGATAGAATTTTTATCAACATTTTTGCCGCCAACAAATCCAATTAAATTGTTCAAAAATCCACATAGCAAAAATAATTTTTTATTGAAACACAACACATGAAATTCCCTCCGCTAATATATCATGACAGTATCTGGTATATCCATTAAACTATTTATTTATGAGCTTTAATAATTATTGCTGCATATGAGCCTTGCTAAATTGTCTAAACTGTTATTTATCTACCAATATTCAATAAAACACACCTCAAAATTTTAACACAGCAAATAAAAGGCATGCAACAAATTCAGAGCATGTAACAAGCACTAAAAAATGTGTCTATTATCGCAGCATCTCAGTAGCAAGTTCATTCACCCGACATAAAAAAAATCTACCACACGTTTTGCCATCAATGTGCTAATAAGACTCTCTTTTGTTGTTGTAATTTCGCTTTTACTTTCAAATTCACCATCAACTGCCTCATTATAGTCTATGTTTACTTTATACTCACAACATAGTGTATAGTCTACGGAGACATAGTGAGAGAAAGAGAGTAGATGTAAAAACACATCTCGGCTATGGATCGAGTGTTGAACAGATGTAGTCGAGCATGAAAAAACTGGGCTACTAGGCTGTTGGGAAAAAAATCATTTCTTCATTCTTCTCTCATTTCACTCATTTTGAGGCTTGTTTATACAACATGACTATAATTGAGCAAAAGAGTTATTAAATCATTTTTATTGGAATTTTTTGTTTGGCTATTTTTGGGTACAATTTCTCCATCCACAATCGACTAATTGATTAATGGCAATTTTCCACTGTTTGGCTTTTTATGTACATACATAGGAAACTGACAAACTTTATATTACATGATTTGTAATGTAATATGGAAAAAAATAGGCGAATGAATGTTAAAAGAGGCATGAAGAAAAGCATGTTGAATGGTCAGTTTTATGAATTTTTATTTCATAATAAGTGTTATAAATTATTGTTCACGCAAGCTACATGACAAAGACTATTAGTTGGTCTTTTCGAGTCGTTAATCATATCGACAAAAATGTCACCTATTTAGTGGATATAGAATAAAGAATTTTTCGACTGTATTAATGGAATTGAGCTTGTTATGTCGATTTATTGGTTCTTTTTGACTGCGACACGAGATTGGGGGTGGTTTGGAATCAAATTTATTCCCAATACCCCCTAGCATCCTTTATAAATTCCAAAAAATTCAGCCTACGCTAGAGCTTCCTTCCAAAAAAAAAACCACAGCAGTACCCATTGTATAATAAACCTTATAGAATCAACACCTACGGAATTTTCATCAAGCATATTCATTATTCATAAAACAAACATTCATAGCTCAAACGAGCTCAAACATTCAACAGTCTTTACCATAATTATATTGCTACCTTTTCTATGCTCAACAATAAACATTTTTCATCAAAAAATAACCACAAAATTGACCTTTTTAAGTACCCTTTAAAAATTGTGAATTAAAAGCAAATATTATAAATAAATGTGAAAAAAGAGCTTCCATCCCCATGACAATGCCACTCATTAATTAATAATTTAATTCAATTTTTAGCTTTTTATTATGCCAATAGCATTATTTACAACAAAATTATTAAAACTGCACCGCTCGAAAGGGATCAAATCATTTTATAAAATTAATTTAATTTTTTTGTGTGCCCTTTGAGGGTTTCTTGATGCTTTTCATTTGAAATTCACATCTGTATCACTAAATATTCTCTTATTTATTTTAATTTTATAGAACCACCAATCTCATCAGCTCATTGCCCAAGACTTTACGGAATCTTCCCAGACGAAGCCAAGTGTGATGTTTTCTGGAACTGTTGGAACGGAGAATCATCAAGATATCAATGCTCACCCGGCTTAGCTTATGACCGTGAGGCTCGTGTCTGTATGTGGGCTGATCAAGTTCCAGAATGTAAAAATGAAGGTAATTAATTCAACTATTTTTTTGGTCATTAAGGCTCCATTTCTAAATCATATCTTAATTTACAGAAGTTGCCAATGGATTCACATGCCCAGCTGCAGGAGAAATCGCCAATGCCGGTTCATTCTCAAGACACGCTCATCCAGAAGATTGCAGAAAATACTACATCTGTCTTGAAGGAGTTGCCAGAGAATATGGATGCCCAATCGGTACAGTCTTCAAAATCGGAGATTCAGACGGTTCAGGAAACTGCGAAGACCCAGAAGATGTTCCCGGCTGGTGAGTTATCATTCTTTTCTTAATTTTTAAAAATTCTTGAAAGTTGAAGTTCAAAATGACTGGAATTGAAGTCATATTCTTGAAATTATTCGTCCCTAATTCGATCTGATTTGCATGTTCTTATAACCCGACCGCATTGGTCGTGAAACAGAGAGCTGAATTATTAATGATCAGAAAGTTTCAATTATTGGAAGGTCAATGATTTGACAATTAATTCAAGCGACTTGTGGCAGAATAAAAGGCACACAAGCCTTACTATAAGTTGCTATGCCAAAAGACTAGGACTGCAAGTTGACAAGTTTCATTATTTTAATTTTTAACCAGACATTGAAATGGTCGATATTAATCAGTGTCAATCACATTGCACTGTCATGTCTTACATACTATTCATTTCATTTCATTTGTTTAATTTAATTAATTAATTTAATTTCATATCTAACTCATTTATTTTCCTCTTTTTCTTTTCCTTCTCTTTTTTTTAACAAATCCAACATAATTTTATATCTTCAAACACACAAAAAACTGACATACATGCATACATTCTAACCACACATAAAAAATTACAATTAAAAAAATGTCACGAACATCACATATTCACAAAAAAAATTATATATATAGTGAGGACTACTATGGAGATCTTGATCTTAAGAGCATTAGAAAGAGTGAGCTGTTAGCTGGTTTGGCAAATAGCGATAGCGGCCGTAATCAAGTTGCAAAGAAGAAGAACAAGGAATAAATATGAAAAATTCATTAACATCAACAACAGGAATAGTTTAGCGAGTAGAACATCCAAATTTCCATCCATTCCAATTTACCAAAATTAACTTCCTCTTTGTTCCTCCTGTTTGTTCTGGTTTTCTGTTTGTGGGAAACATTTAAAAAAAAATTCATAATCATCCATCCATTTGTTAAGTGTATCTGCTCCACACTTACTCTTAAATTCCTATCCCCCTCCCCAATCCCAAAGCCAATACCCTTTTCTGCTACAAAAAAAAATTAAAAAATACTCAACGGCGAGGCAACAACAAAAATAAATTATTATTTTCCACCCTGGAAATTTTCATAATTTTAATTAGATTTTTCGCTTGTAAAATGAATGAGTAATAATAATAATATTAATAATAATTTTCTGTGTCTCTACAATCGAGCAAGTTAATTAAAATTTTAATCATAGACTGTTTTTTTATATAAATATAAATTTATACGTGAAATAATGAAAAAAAATGAAGGTTTATCATCCATTCCACATGAAAAAGAAAGAAAGAGAATAAAAATAAAGTTGGATAAAAAATTATTACACACTTTTTTATTGTGATTTTTTATACTCAGCCGTTTCGAGGATTTCTTTTTGCTTTGCATTTAATCTACTCGTTAATGATGTTTGCGATTTTATTTTTTTGGTGAGGTTTTGTTTGATTGTGATAAGTGTATGATTACATTTTGAATGATAAGATTTTATGAAGCATTTAAAAAATTTGGAAAGACTTTTTACTGTCTTGGTGCTTTTTTTTGGTGACTTGAAAGGAATTCTTGAACATTTTTAATTGATTTCTTCCTAACATGACTATAAATTCTAATTTAAAACTTAATATCATGAAATATTTTGCTTGAACATTAAGAATATCAAGTTATTATAATTGTAACCTATTCTAAATAAGCTGCACATCAACTTTTTACTGAAATGCGGGAAAATCCAAAAAGCGTCGCAAAAAAGCCCTAAATTTAGGGGTAGTTCACTTATGACGTCCAAAATTAACGGTCATTCAAAAAAACAATGGATTTCCAGGAATTTCTATTGTTCTTTTCTTGCACCCCCCCCCCCCCCCTGGACGTCATAAGTGAACGATCCCTTATGATATTTTTGGGATCAAAGCTGGGGCTGGGCAGTTTATTCTTGAGATTGAGAGAAGTAATCTGAGAGGCTTAATTCGGGGTTCTACAACTAAGGTTCTAATGTTAAAAATAAATATTGTACTAGGGAACTCTTGACAATTTTTTCAACTTAAATCAAATTGATACGAAATGATTTAAGACTCTGGTATGCTGTAATATTTTCAAAATGGCTGTTAGTCACTAAGCGACACCCTCAAGAATCTTAAACTTAACTTGAATCTGCATCCCTGGCGACACAAAGAAAGCGAAAGAATCTTTGTGGAATCCAAAAGAAATTTTAATGTCATAAAAGTTATATACAGTAGCGTGCAGAATATTATGGACGGTCAAAAAAATTTCGTTTTTATTCTCAAAAGCATACTTAACGTTGTCCAATTTAGATGAAATTTTCACCACTTATACTGTTTTTCATGTGCTTTCACATGATAAAATATAAATATGCTATAGTTAATAATTTTTGAAAAAACCGTTAAAATTCAAAATCAGGTGCGTGCAAAATATTATGGACGATTCTTTTTTGGTAATTTTTTTTATGTTTAAGCTATTTAAGCTTACTTTTTAAACTTTAAACATGAAGTTCAAACATTTTACTCCAATTTTATACATTCTTAATGGATGTGTAGCAAGTTTAAGGCATAAAAAAATCATGATGAAAAATTATGCAAATATTTTACTATTTTTGTTACTTTTCATCAATAGCAAGCATTAATATCGGTTATTTTGGACTGTAATGTATTGAATTCTTAACTATCTTTCTATTGATATATAATTTGTCTGTATTAATATAGTCTAAATGAAAAAAATTACGAAAAAAGTTCATTGAAGAGGGAAAAATTTCATCAACAAAAATATAAATTGATAAAAATTTCTTAAATATCCATGAAATATTACCCAATTTAGTCTTATTTTCTCACATTTATGTTGTAGATTAGTAATTGAGCAGTTATAAATTTATATTTTGAGTAATAAAGTCATAAAAAGAGAGCCTTCTGTATGACCAAAAGAAAATTTTAAAGACGAAAAAAATATTTGTCATTAAACTTTTAAATATGCATTTTTCTCTCTTGTTTTTGGCTTAAATAGTTGGCAAAGAGTATTTTGAGTTGTTTTTAATTGATTTACATAAATTTATACTGCATAAAATGTAAAAAATATTATGAAATATTTTTCAAGTTTCAACATGACTTTTTTCATAGTATTGGCTCATAAAAATATATCTTATCGTGCAATATTAAAATGTAATTCTACCTAATTACTAATCTACAACATATATGTGAGAAAATAAGACTAAATTGGGTAATATTTCATGGATATTTAAGAAATTTTAATCAATTTATATTTTTGTTGATGAAATTTTTCCCTCTTCAATGAACTTTTTTCGTAATTTTTTTCATTTAGACTATATTAATACAGACAAATTATATATCAATAGAAAGATAGTTAAGAATTCAATACATTACAGTCCAAAATAACCGATATTAATGCTTGCTATTGATGAAAAGTAACAAAAATAGTAAAATATTTGCATAATTTTTCATCATGATTTTTTTATGCCTTAAACTTGCTACACATCCATTAAGAATGTATAAAATTGGAGTAAAATGTTTGAACTTCATGTTTAAAGTTTAAAAAGTAAGCTTAAATAGCTTAAACATAAAAAAAAATTACCAAAAAAGAATCGTCCATAATATTTTGCACGCACCTGATTTTGAATTTTAACGGTTTTTTCAAAAATTATTAACTATAGCATATTTATATTTTATCATGTGAAAGCACATGAAAAACAGTATAAGTGGTGAAAATTTCATCTAAATTGGACAACGTTAAGTATGCTTTTGAGAATAAAAACGAAATTTTTTTGACCGTCCATAATATTCTGCACGCTACTGTAAAAGTCCATATAATGGATTGAGAGATCAGTCTCTGGTGGAAATCTAACCCACATCCTCACAAAAGAGGGTTACAGATATCCGGTATGCTATCTAGCCACTCGTACCACACAGGTCTTACTCTCACACTAGCAGATTCGCCTATATAGAGCTCAATATCCAATTCCACAATTAAATTGAGCTACGAATTCTGCTTCACTTCCAAATTTATTCTTGTGCAACACTGGGATTGGAAATTCAAGTCCAACATAAAGTTTGGAATTGAAAAATTTCTCAAAAAAATTAGGAAGTCTCCCATAAAATCTGTAAATCCACTTGCTTCACAATGTTGTACAATTTTAACTGCCAAACAGCACAACACAAAAAATTATAATCTCATCAACAAAAAAAATAAAGTTTTTTTTGTGCGAAATTTACATCACTTCATTTTCATAATAAATTTTTACAGTAAAACTTAATAAGACTAAGAAAATTAAATAAAAGAAAACTATAAAAACAATTTAAATCTTCTGACTTTTATAATTTTCATTTCCATAGAGCTTATGCTTAAGTGCTTGGGGGTTGAAGAGAGTTTGTTTGTCATTCTGTCTGATGTCTGAGTTTGTTTAGGAAAAGTTTGCATTTAACTGAGGGAGTTGAACATTGAAATTATTATTAAAATGCTTTAGGAAAATTTGATATTTCATGGGACTGAAACTTTATGGATGACATGTTGTGTGTACATTACACAAATTGAAGACAATAGCAAATTTATATTTTATTTTTTCAAAAGTTAAAGCTTTGTTGAATTTAGAACTATTTATTATGATGCAATAAATTTGAAGTAAAGCTGCACGAGGTACTACGGTGTTGTATCTATTTATGGGTCGAGATAGATTATTGTAAAATGCATTCAACTTTTTAGTCTATTGAAATCTTTAAGCCTCGTGTAAAATATTGCTGATAAAAAGCTTTATAGTTTATCTGAAAAGTTGTAAATTTATGAGCTGTAAAATATCGCAGAATGTTGGACACAATTTTATATAAATGGAGGTTTTGCCAAGTTACAAGCAAACTTTAAAAAATTCTTAGTTTTATATTTCTAGAATTTCTGAAGAAAGAAAAACCCTTAAACTAGGGAAATATCTAAGACAGGGGGGTTTTTGGGATCCAACTTATTGAAAAATACAAAAACCACCCAAAATTATTTTAATTCAAACAAAAATAAATCAAAACTCAATCAAGAAAAAAATTCACTCTGTTCCCCTGCCATTAGGCTAGATTTTGAGGTTAGATTTAAGCGTATGTCGACAGTACAAAGGCTTGAACTTAGAATAATGTCGTGAAAACATCTAAAATTGTCCAAAATCTCGATCGGCTAGAGTTGATAGTATAATCAATTGCAACCAGGTGCCTAGTTGCTGCCACTTGGCTGCTTTTGCCTTTTTCAATGAAATTCAATGTGTGCCGATCGGAAATGTTTAAAAATATTCTTCTTAAATTTAAACAATTTATTTCTAATTATTTCTGTATCTTCTGTTAATTTTTGTCATGCTTATCTGTTCCAAAACAGAGCTAATCCTTTCATTCAAATTCTCACCATTCATTAAATTCATTTACAGATCTAAAACGATTTAATCCATCACAAAACTCATCAAACCACTAAAAGGCTTAGAAAAAAGTACCTTAAAAGTGCGTCACAAAAGCCATTTTAAAAATATTTTTAATCTCTCCAACTCGTCATTTTTGCCATTTTCATTTAGAAACACCGAGAAAAGCTTTTATGCCCCTTAAAGCGGATTAATTTAATAACAACAGAAAAAGTTCATGAGCTCTCTCCTTGTTTCTGTGTTGCTTTTTATTTATTTGATTTAAAAATTTGTTGTATATTTTTTATTTCGTGCAATTCCTTTTCATTTTTGTTCCTTTCACATTTTATTTCTAAAGAAGAAAAAAAAATGAGACCAAAAAATTATTATTATTTTTTTTTGTTCTCATTCCATAAGCTGTACAAAGGCAAAAAAAGAAAAAGCATAAAAATGAAAGGAAGGAAGAGGAGAGAAAAAAAAGAAAAATTGCTTTGTTTTATCGCCTTTTCATGTTCTCTCAATTGTTCACATATACATTTATTTATGAGTGAAAGAGAAAAATATGTTTTTAATAAATTGAAGCAATATTCATCTATGGCTTATCAAGCATATGGCGTCAATCTAATCTATTCATTCATATGCTTTCTCATTTTCTGTGGAGTATTTTAGTCTTTACAGGATTTTTGGGGAGTTGTAACTGTGGGATTAAAAATGATAGCTCAACTTAGTTCTTAGAATTTGATGTTCTGGTTGAGAATTGTTTGGGCTTGAATTTATTGAAATTTAATCTTATAGCCACATTTGCACATTAAGCAAAAAAAAACTTAAGAAAAATTTGATCGACTAAAATAATAAGTTTTAGACTTTTGAGGATCGTTGTAGGGGCA